TATATATATATATATATATATAAAGGAAATCAACCTGAAAATTATATACACGTTTCTGATAAATTAACTAATAAAAGTTTTTTTTTGTTTTATTTTTTTTCCTCAAAAGTGAAGACTGGGATCTTGTTTAGTATAAAAATAATTTGTTATGATGTCACACACGTCGCCTCCTTATTTGAGCCCTGACTGATGACTGTCGCTCTCTCTGGCTCCCCCTGCAGACTACCTCCAGGCAGTGCAGGCCACCTCCGTGCTCGCCTGCATTTTCTCCATCATCGCCCTGTTCGTGTTTATCGCTGAGCTCTTCACCCTCCCGAAGGGAAGGAGGTTCACCATCTCTGGGGTCTTTCAAGTCCTCGCCTGTAAGTCACGCTTGCGAAAGAACGTTTCTGCACGCTTCCCGACGGGTCTAAATCGTCACCGTTCTTTTCTCTTTTTTTTCCTCCTCTCCCCGTCCCCTCTCTCAAAATCCTCTTCAGGCCTGTTCATCATGATCGCAGCGTCCATCTACACGGACCGTTTCCACGTCAACGAGAAGAGCCTTGGTAACTACGGCCACAGCTTCATCCTGGCGTGGATCGCCTTCGGTTTGACGTTCATCTCCTCCATCGTTTACTTTGTGCTACGCAAGAAGTAGCATGGAACAAGTTGGACACTAGATCATACTCCACGTTTGTTTTGTTTTTTTCTCCTTTTTTGGAACAGATCCACTCTTTCAGCTACAATTTTTTTTTGTTCATTAAATTTAAGCTGCTAGTGTGAGCACAACAGACCTGTGGATATTTTCACATACACTTAACGTTTGACCGAGTCTGTCTTCGACTAACGAAGCAGGAGTCGAACTCAGTCGTATCTAAGTGTGTTTTCAGCCCAGAGTCGGGCTGGTTTTCTTCAGGGCATCTATGGATACAGTTTTTTTGTTTGTTTGTTTTTTTGTTTAAGCTGAACAGAGAAAATCCTTCAGATTTACGATAAATTAAAACTTAATGATTAGTTTTTCGTCACTATTTTCAAAGAGATCATTAAGCTGGCGGCAGTATAACGACGATCAATCAATATTCAAGTGTGGTTATTTTTGTTTTATGTACTTTTACATTTATGAATATGTATGTTACAGTAGATTTAAAAAAAGGGTATTTTGTTATTTTCTTTGATGTTTTTGCATTATTTTATTGTTAGTTTATAAATTTTTTTCTATCTTCTCTAATAAAAAGACGTTCTCTTTTTAATGCTGAATTAATATGATGGAAATGCCTTCGATTAAATAATTCTCCTCTAAAAACATTATAGATATTGGAATAAGAGATATTTGTGATTAGGAGAGACTAAATACTCTGGAGTGAAGTTATCGGCGCCACAGATTTATGTCAATTTTAGAAAAATCCAAACTTTGTGCGGAAATGCCGTTAAAATCTTTCCACTAGCCGCGTTCCCACAAAGACAACCGTTTGAGTAATGAAGCACGAGACATGATGTGTAAATAGGATTTCTTCCCAACAAAGCTCTGTGTGTCTGATGTTTATTTTTGCTACATGAATGATCATTACAGTGATTTTTGAAATAAAACTTTTCATTTTCACCCTGTGGTGACTCGTCATTTATTTTTTTCCACCAGAGTTCCAGTAAATGGATGTCAACTGGTGTAGTTCAGTGATTTTGCTTCAAAAGTGAAACAAACATACAGGATAGATGATACAGGAACGATGGTTCACAACAAGATATCCATTTGAGTTTAAAACAGAGATGAGGTCATTCATTCTGTGGATAACTGCGGGACAGCAACGACAATAACAGAAAAGTTATTTTCGAGATGTTTTCCTTTTAAATCAAAGTTGTAATAGAAGTAGACAGTTACATTTTGCAGTTTTATTGTATTTTCCAGTCCGTACATTCAACACTTCATAAGTAGATACATAAAAATAATAAAAATCCAAACGAGGCAAAAGAAAAATAGTTAATTTTTTTGGTGTTTCAAACTTCATAACTGTATGCTTATTGCAAATAAATTATGTTTAATTTTTTGATCAATTTTTAAACAAAGAGACCAAACATACTTTCACATGGACTCTAAAGGGTTGAAGGAACAGCAGCTGATTTAATTCAGGTTCGCTGTTTCGGACTTTTTTCTTCCACTCAATTTTCCATCAAAATCCTTGGACAGAGTGCTCCGTGAACAGAAAGGTTGTTGTTGAGTTAGTGACAGTCTGCTGGTCAACTCAGTAGTCTTCAACCAAAACCTAACCTGCCATCCTTGTAGTCATTTTTGACCAAAAGTGATGATAAGTGATGATATGCCTTTCACTTTTTGAACAAATTCACTGAAATTAATTCCCTTTTTGACGATATTCTGAGATGCGCCTGTGAGAGTTCAAAGCGGGCTGTAATCCTCGTCCTGATCGAAGGGATGCTCCTTGCGTCGCGGGAGCATCATGTGAACGGAGATGGAGGGCGAGAGAGACGGGGAGGACAGGGAGAGGCGGTGGAACGGGGACGCGGGTGCCGGCTGGAGCGGGGGAGGAGGGAAGGAGTCCGAGTGGGTCAGGGGAAGCGAGTGGGAGTGGGTGAGTCTCGGCGAAGCGGGCGGCGGAGGCTCGTAGTAGGGAGACAGATGGGAGATCACGGGGGCAGGGAGAGGGGCGGACAGGGTGACGGGCAGGTTTGGGGGGGTGTAGTAGGGAGCGGGTGGCAGGAGGCCCATGAAGTTAAAGCTGCAGGGGTTGAGGCTGGAGCTACTCCTGGGCCCCACCATCAGGACCTTCTTGGTGTAGTTGTTCAGGGTGGAGACGCCCGCTGCCATGCACACAGTGAAGGCTAGCCACACCAAACTGACAGAGACAAGAACAAGAGGCACGCTGTTCATGACGATTTCTGAATCAGACTTAAATGTGCGAGCAAAAACAGCTACATCACTGCAGGAGTTTTCTCTTTTGTTCTTTTAATTGATTGCATGTGTTTGTAGAAATATGGTTTGGTTTATTTGTTGTTCAGCTACCAGAGCAACCATTAGTAAACGCCAAAAGTGATGGAAGGAGTCCTTTAGGGCTTGCTTGTTTGTAGGGAGATCTGAAATAACAGGCAGGTACCAAGTGACCCAAAACCCGAACCCCAACCCTACCTGAACCCCAAACCTTCCCCTCACACCCCACTAAAAACTGGGGTGTGAGAGGAATTCAGGGAGGCTATGGAGTTGGAGTCACTTGTCCCAAGGCAAGTGACTCCAACGGGACACAGGATGTAATTAGTTTGGGAACCTTGACTCCTCAGATTGTTTACTGCTAGAACAAGTTCTTTCAAATATCCTTAATCTGTTCACCATGGACTAGACATGGTCATGGGAGCAGGGAAGAAGTAAATGCATCACCTTTGCAGAGGTTGTTTCAATAGTTAAAAAGCTCCCCAAGGACAGTGTGTGGATGACTTCTGTCCTGGGGAGCTGAAGGTTATGGATACCATGGTATTATCATTGCTGGCCATGGAGGACTGGAACCAAACTGCCCCCCTCTGGATAGGGGCTCAATCACTGCCTCAAGCAAAACAGTACAAGTATCAAGAGCTCACAAGTGATGGTTGGCCTCATTTGGGGTAACTTTCCTCTGGACCAAAAATATGCCATTTAGGTGGTTTGGATGTCTATTTGAGATGTTTATCATTGGAGAATTTTAAGTTATGTCCTTCTGAAAGGAGAAACCCAAACTAGCTGGAGGAACTTGATATACCTTCTGGCCAGAGAACAATTAGCAATCCTCCTAAACTGGAGAGTGATGGGAGAGAGATAGTAGCTTCTCCTAATAGGCCTATTAGCTAGCTAGTTACTTAACTAGCTAGATAGGTGTGGTCAGAAAAATTGAGGTAAGTCTTGGATTCAATGGGACACATTTACCCTTCCTATACACACTGGAAGGGTAGCGAGTGAAATTTAAGAGCAGAAAATACTTCTTTTATATATACACTGCTCAAAAAAATAAAGGGAACACTCAAATAACACATCCTAGATCTGAATGAATGAAATATTCTCATTGAATACTTTGTTCTGTACAAAGTTGAATGTGTTGACAACAAAATCACACAAAAATCATCAATGGAAATCAAATTTATTAACCAATGGAGGCCTGGATTTGGAGCCACACACAAAATTAAAGTGAAATGTTCCCTTTATTTTTTTGAGCAGTATATAAATTAATTGAAACAGAAGTGACCAATTTCAATATTTGGAATAGTAAGTATACCTGCAGCTTTGATAAAAACATGAACTCATAAATTAATAAGTTTATAAGTTCATTCTTATTGTAAAGTTGAAATCTGAACATTATTTCTGAATATTAGGTCGAACCTTTCCTTGCTGCAAAAAGCAATATTTTTAGTCTAGCTTTACTATTTCTTTACTTTTCCACAAAATGTAATGGTTAACATCGTACTCATACGCGCTGGCTCTGAGTTTCAGCACATGTTGTTTCTGCGCCTTTAAAATGTTCCGATAAAACAGAAAGGTCCAACAAACTCACTAGAACGCCCAGGAGTAGCCGTAGCTGTGAGGTTTAAAGTCTTCTGGTCCCATTGAAACTGTGGTCTGAAACACCTGCATGAACATCATGTGACCCACCATCCCAAGAAGACCTGCAGCGCACGAAACACCCCCAGAAAAATCAATGGTTTCAATTAAAACCAGCAACCCAAATATAGATCTGAGGTGGCAACAGCTGTACCTCCCAGGACCGTGAAGACAGCTGCAAAGGCGTTGAGCATCTGGCCCCAGCGCACCGTGGAGGGAAACCAGGCAGCGATGCACAGCTGGGCGGACAGCAGCAGGCAGCTGACCAGCAGCAGGCCGACGTACATGAACTCCAGCGTGAGACACAGCCAAATCATTGCTGCAGAGGAAGAAACGGAGGCTCAGAGCTAAAAGAACAAACATGGACGTCAAACAATCATCCAGCAGGAAGAGGGAGAATTTACCTTCCTCTGATTCGGGAGTCAAACTGTAAAACCATCGACATTTCTCTTCTACAAAGACAAAAAAAAAGGGGATTATAAAATAAACTCACAAATCTGTATGGACAGAAAACGTGATAAACATCCAAAGTCCTTACATTAATAAACACCAAGAATTACATCAGAAACCTTCTTTTTTTTTCTTCTAGAGGAAACCCCAAGTTTAATTAAACACATCCATCAACTATTATGTGGCAAGACCGTTTGCATAAAGCGCTTCTAATGCTGGGCATAACCTGATGGGGGATTATGGGATTTATTTGGTGTAAATCTGCCAGGATGGCAGCGGAAAGAAAAATATTAGCTGCACCAAAAGCTGAAACACAGGCTAGTGGGGATTTATTTTTGCCCCAAAGACGTTAAAAATAATAATTTAAATAGAGGAAATTTCCCCAAGATATCAACCAGAAAGCAATTATTCCTCTCAGAAGAATCTTGATTCGCTGCAGGCGCAGCAGCAGCAGCAGCAGCATCGTCCCGTCTCAGTTTTTAGTTAAGCTTCTTTGCGGCTTGATTGCCAAACTGTTTAAATGATAGCTCCAATAATCTTCCTCCGAACTCATAAAAGGATGAGTCTTAAAGAAACAGGTGCGACCAGGGACAGCAGGAGAAAATCAAGACTGCATCATCAACATGTACAGTCGGAAAAATAGAACGGGCCGGACGCCATCTTGTGCTGTCAGACGTCTTTTCTGACTCTGCAGACTTAATAAAGTCGTCATACACTTTGATTTTTTTCTAATTTCAAACACAAACTTCTACATAATTTATGTGTCAAAGCAACATAAGGTAGTTCTGATTTGAAGTGGAGAAAAAACATTAGAGACATTGTTAATATCCAATTCAAAACAACCAATCGCCTCTAATCAATAAAAAAGTATAACTGAGTCTGCTCTGATTGGTGGTTTTCGACTGGGAGCATTTCGTCATACGACAATCGTGGCGTTGGGAGGAGATAGAAATGCTCAGTGTTTTCACAGATTATCTGTCTTGTGTCACGAAACTGATAGTTTCAGCAAATACTAAACTTTTTGACCTGCATTCAAACTGTTTAAAGCTAACGCCACACATACCCCTGAACTAGCCAAGAAAACCTTAGAATTATGCGTTACTTCCTGTTGAGCTACTGAATCCCGGACGTACACTTTAGTTTTTGCATTTGAACTTCTTGTCCTTCTGTTCTAAAGAGGTGAGCAGCTGCGCCGAAGAGGCCGACGGTTCAATTCCCTACGTCGTTCTTGCTCGGTTCGTCTAATCAGCTGCAAACGAGACGATGATAACTCGGCCCATGTTTGTGAATCCTGTTAACCTTTCGCCTCCCTGGCTTTTAATCCATAATTGAGTCGTGCTGTTGAAGTCTAAATCTCTGTGAGCAGAACTCGCCATGGTGATAATCCTCTTTGGGCCGAGCACACAGCACCGCAGGCTCACGGTCACACATCTACATGAGAGCCAAGGCTCGTCCAAACTACTGCTCTGTGTCCTGCTTCATAGTGGGACCAGTAGTGGTTTTGCTACATGAAGTCCAATTAGCATTTTCAGTAAGCAGCATGTTATTGCAATCCCTCATGATGAGATTGTTTTAATATTCTAAGCGTCACATGTAAAAATGGATTAGCATCTTTAGATTTCCTCAGAAATCCGTTGTTCTTTCATTTATTAATTTTCTTCAACCTATGTAATCCCTGTCAGAGTTACTAGTGACATGTTCAGGCTTTTGCATCAACTAACAAGAAAAACAACATCCAGCCATTGATTTCCTACACAATTCAATTCTAACTTCTCATCTGGTTTTCTCCAATTGAACTCGATTTCTTTGGTAGAATTTCAATGGGGCCAATCAGCGAACAGAAGGAGAGGTTGTGAAAGACGAAGTTGATTTTCAGTAGATATTAACCAAGTCGTTCAGGCCGTCTTGGCAACCCTTCCAAAGAACTGAGTTAACATTAACAGCCTTTCGGTTCCCCACTTCTCTCTTTGCTTGGGAGGATGGTTGTTCACAATGCAGACAATTTCCTGTAAGCTTCTTAGCATTAAACTGGCTCATTACATATGCTATGGGCAAACATTGGAAATTGGGTAAAATTTAAACCCTCCACAGAGTCCACGCTCTCAGGAAAGAGCCCTCTAGCAAAGGGTAGAAGTTTTCTGGGGTTTTTTTACCCATAAATAACATTTTATTTCAGGGTATAAGAGTAAAGTGGACTATATTCTTGCACATATCATGCCATCTGATGTAGGTGACATAGATGTTTCTCCAAAACAGACAAGCTCGAGAGTCATGTTGTATTCAGGTGGTTCAGACGTCTGACTCGTCTGCTTTAAATGCTCCACAGACAGCGAGAGGCTGGTGGGAGACCTCTCTGTGACCTCTCTGTGTTCTGGCGATTTCTGCTGCTGGAACTAGCCAGTCCTCTTTAGGACTTTACTTTTGACTCTGCAGAGAACATCGTCTCTTCATTATATTTACTTCTTCTTTTTTTTTTCCTTTAGGGTCAACCGACTAAAACCCTCGCTCTCTCACCCCATTCGTCCACGTAGATGTTCTCCTCGCAGATGATGAACAGGCCAGTGTGGAAGTATGGGAAGACGAAGCGGTCGTCGCCCGTCTCCCAGAAGAACTGGATGTTGGAGGTGTTGGACACGCCCGGCACAGGGATGCACCGCTTGAACTTGGTGGCCGTGCAGAGAGGCTTGGGTACCTTCTGCCGGCCCGTGCACCAGAAGGAGGAGGTGAGGGCCACAGTGCTCAGCAGGAGGGACACCACTGTCTGGAAGAAGGACAGGGAAGGGGAGCGCACTCTCTTGAGGAAGGCCATTATGGAAGGAGGAGGAGGCTGGCGGAGGAAAACGAGGGTTAAAATACAGACATCTGATCCTTTTTACTGGTCTTTGTTGAGATGACATGAACTTTAATCTCCAAGGAGATGCAACAGATGGGTGCATGTGGAGTTTGTGTAATAAACTCCTAAAACTTCTGTGTGTTTTGTTGTGATTTTTATGTGACAGACCAACACAAAATGGAGGACAGGGAAGGAGAAAAGCTGGAGGTTCACCTTTGACCCTGAACAGCCAGGACTAAAGTGGAAGACAGTGAGCGATTTTCTCAGCTGTATTTCATTTTATCTGTTGAGCATGGACTATTATCTAAATGTAGATACAGAAAAAAAAAGAAACTGTTTTGCTTTTCTTTCAATGTTGCAAAAGTGTGAGAATCTCGTTATGTTTCGACTACAATGAGCTACAGGTTTCCCTTTCTGCAAAAGTCTAACATTGTTTCTTTCAAATATTACATTTACTAAATAAGTCATGTTCATACTAAAATGATTTTCGCCTTTTAATGATAAAAAAATTTGAAATAATTACTTCTTCCACCACGGATTTGGATCAAAGCATGTCCATGTGTCTGAACGGCTCAGTGAGACTCCAGCCCTACATCCCACTGAGAACCTGTGGCAAGACATGAAAACTGATATTCATTCGAATCTGGGTTTGAATTATTTAACAAAAATAAAATAAAGTAAAAATCACTCTTGAGACGTCTGTAACCTCTCTAGACCAATCATTGCGGCTGTAACTATGGCTAAAAATTAAAAATCACAGCAAGATATAAAAAAGTGAAGGTAATAAATACGTATTTAATACCATATTAATAATTTTTGCCTCCAAGTTGCAAACTGCCTGCTTTAAAATAAAGACACATAAAATGTAAACATTCTGGTAAGAAAGATGTATTTGTTCCCTTTAATGGAAAAGTTTCATCACTTTTGAAAAAAATCTTTTTTAATTGAATCTAAAAGTGTAATTCCTATAACAGGTATTGATAAAAGTGGCTATTTTGTTTTGAAGCGTCTTGTATCTTTTGTGGCTCGTCACTTTGTTTAGCTGGAGCGAAGACAAAACCCGATCATAGCGCTGTAAAGGTCGCTGACCTCTGGTAGAGGAAAACCCAAAATAATTAAAGAGACAGTAGCTGGTCTTCAAAGTACTGATTCAGAGGCCTGAACAAAACTACACATCACACTGTCAAGACTTTTTAATTTTTTTGTCTTTTTGCTGATAAAAAAAAAAAAAACTTCAAACAATGCATCATTTTTAGCCCCTCTTCCCAACGTTGGGCTGTTTGTGTTGGTCGGTCACAAAAAGTCCCAATAAAATTCGCAGATGTTGCGAAGGGCTTCGAATGAATTTTTACAAAACGCTGATCGTTACCAACTTTTGCAGACAGACAGAAACTCACACAGCCCTGATGAAGGCGTACTATATTAACTGGAGAGGAAATCTGCCATCGCCATGGAAACCGTCCAGGAGACGGGACGCGACGCACCCAAGCGCTCCAAGTCCAACTGTGTGCTGGAGACAAAGGAAGGATTCTCACCTGCTGTGCGTCTTCCCTCAGCCTCCTCTTGGAGAGAAAAAGTGGAAAAGAAGTGACGGCCCCCCACTCCCACTCCGCTCCACTGATGACGGGAGGATTTTGGTCGCCACGGTGACCTCTACGGGGGTGTGTGACTGTCACTCCGACACAAGCAGGAGCGTATCTCTCAATCACACACACACACACTCGCCTTTAATCCAGCCGTATAAATAATCCAAAACAGACAGCTCAGGTCCATCTGTTTCAATTTCATTCCTAGACTCATTTTGATCCATTTCATTCCCGTCCTCCCTTCCATCCCCCAATCTCCAGCCAAGGCTTTTCAGCCTGCACCAGCCATGTTGGTTTGATTTAACTTCGACACACTGACCAAAGCTACACACACACACACACACACACACACACACACACACAAATACACACACACAACTTTAAATTTGGACCTTTGGAGAGAGAAGTCTTAGTAGTGATACTGACAAACAGCATCAATACGAAATTCATTTATTAAGACCTGATAGGTGCAAAGCACTGAACTGTATGTACTGTTCCATTAAACAGTGTTTGTTCCCCCTGAGTTTCTGTCTTATACTTTTTTTGTTACATTTTAACATTCCAGACTAACCGTGAATTTCCGCCACAAAACTCTGAAGTCTCGAGATCAATCTGTGAAATGTTCTAGAAAAATTTCTGAGCTTGGAAAGTAGAAATTTCGCTAGAAAAAAACTCAGTTTTGAGAAAACTCAATTAGTCGAAGATTTTTGAAACTCATAAATTTCCAAGTTTTTCCTAGAAAATGTAAGAAATTAACCTCTTAATTTGAGCTTTTCTTTTGGCAGAAATGCATCCCCCCCATCTGCAATGGCTCTAATATGCTGTTGTAAATATCAAAGAACCTGTATGAATTGAAATAACTATGTATTAAGGCTGCGGCGTCCAAAGTGCGGCCCGGGTAGCTTTTTGCGGACCCTGGATGAATTTGTGTGGCCCTGGACCACAGCTCTAGAGTGAGGCCAATATGACGTCTCACTTTGTTCCAGATAAATGCAGCAAAGTTTGACAAAAGTCTGTGTGCTTTGGTCAAGTGAGGTCAAGGTTCATGATCATTCTGGTAGAGGATCTGTGAATCTGTGGCCATGTTTTTCTTCAAATGGCTTATGAAACTTTAATAGAGAGCGCGGCATCCCCAACTCCTTGAAAAATGAGATTTCCATCAGAAATCAGATGGATCCTACTAGAAATATAGAGTCGTGTCTCTGGGTCTTCAGAAGAGCAGTGATCTAAAACACGTACCAAACTAAAATATTACTTACATAAATATTCAGGCACCTGTCCTCCCAGTTCTTACGTTGTCTGTCTTTGTCATTTGGATTGGCTGTCCTGAAATGAATTTCAGGCCGATTCTGATAACCGGTACGTATTACTTTATCAATCAAATCAAAGCAGTTTTTATCTGTACTCAATCAGTGCCTCCAGTTTTTGTGACTCCCAAATTATGGAAATTCGTGCAAGAATCGACAGATCCCTGCACTTTTTCACGCTGACGCAAAATTATGAAAATATTTCTTTCTTCTACTGAACTGCTGACTCAGCCTCACATGATGCCAAGTTATAGTCCGCGATTGATACGGAGAAGCAAAAGGTCACATTTACCGCCACAAAAGCGTGAATATCACAAAATTCCTTGCAAATATTTCTTAACTAGCGCCACAAAGAAAAAAAAAAACAATTGCTAATCCTGGAGCGACTGATCGATGTGAAAAGATGGAGAATATTTAATGTTAAGAAGTACTTATCGAATGCAGAGACAGCTATTTATTATAGTTTTATCAGTTTTTTAAACAGGTTTTATTGATGCATTCTGGCACAACCGGCCCTTTGACTACATTCATGATTTTGAAATTGGCCTAAAATGAAAACAAGTTTGAGACCTTCGATCTAAAACAAATCAATAAAGAAGAAGGTTCAGTGGTCAGCTGTGTGATCTGATAAAAGGTTACAGAAGACCTGAGGCTGCTCAACTCAGTACAAAGTATTAACTAACTAATCTAACTAATCTATTTAGTTAATAATAATACATAAAACAGGTTTTGTAGCAACAAAAAAACAGGAAAACACAGCTTTTCTGCTGCATCTGCCGTGTCGTACTCGTAGTATTGTTTCCGGATTATTTGCATCATCCTGCCAGTTTGGGAAACAATCACAGTGAGCGTTAAACTTAAGCCCCGTCACGGTTTCTCAAGCCCTACGATTGTTTTCTTTCTTTTAATAAATCTGTCAGTGCAGGGCTGTTTAATTATTGCCTGAAACCTTTGGTGAATGCCCATCCTAGGCCTGCCCCAACAGGTTTTGGACTCAATGGTGCGCTTGTCAGATCTTCTATGGAGGGTGTAACCGTGTGAAACAGACCCTCCCTGTCAGCTGGAAACATTGAAAGACATGAAGGGGAAACGAAAAATAAAGAGGGAGAGAGAAAAAAAACAGCACAAATCTGATGAAGAAGGCTGAAACAAAGTTGAAGCATTTTTAAGTGTATTCATAATTCATATACATATTGACAGGTTTCTAATACAGCATGGTTTTGATAGTGTAACTGTCTTTCAGTATGACCTTTTTTTTTCGTTTGATTTGTACAAGAATAACAATAAAAAGTAATAAAGACAACACCATGTATGACTCACTTTGAAATCTGATGGCAATGGATTTTGCATCTTCCGGCTTCATTTGCCGCTGCTTCACTCAAGTGGGAGACCTCTCTCCAAAGTACTTGGTTCAGGCTCACTTTGACCGGGACAGAAACGCTCGGTTGGTCGGTCACGTGGCAACGCGCGTCCAAACACTTCAGGTCCATCTCGACTTTGAACGTTTCGCCAGCGTACGAGGAAAAAGCTCCCCGTTTGTCCTTCATGCGTCCTCCCGGTTAGAGACGGCAAACAAGCCTCAGTCCATAGTGTCATCTCGTCCTCTTACAAGTCTCTCTCTCTCTCTCTCTTTGCACATTATGAACGTTTTGTTCTTGAAAAATAAGACTGTCCATCTGATTTTTTTTTCTCTTTTTAATGAATACTATCTGTACCGTAAAAACCCCTGTGATGAAAAATAAGAACACTTTTCAAAAAGGACCAAAAAAATGGAATCAAAGACCCAGATATCGGCATTTTCCCCACCACCCACCCCGTCCCGTCCCACGCGCGCGCACACATCACTCGCTCATTCACAACTTGTTTTTTTTGTTTTGTTTTGTTTTTTTCTTAAAGGCAACAGATGTCCATTCTCCAAGGCAATAATGTCTTTGTGGCAAACTTGACCCTGACATTCCAGACATCAGACGCTCCGGCTCTTTCCTTCTCCAGGAAAAGCGACAGAAAAGTATAAAAAAATAAAAATTCCAACTCAGACGTTGATTGAATATAAAGCGGCGTACATCCATTTTGTTGTCATAAGTAAATACTGATGAGGATACAAAATAATGAGGATTAAAGTAATAACTGCGATCATCCTAATACCATAACATAAAAAAACGCTAAACTGGGTAAAATGACACCAACTCTCCCAGATCATCCTTTTCTTTTTTTTTGTTTGTTTCTTTGGGTTTCGACACCCAACTTGCTCTCGCTACATCTCGTCAAAGCAAACGAAAAGATAAAAAGGTAAATGATGATGCAGAAAATGATAAGCAAGAGTTTAACACTTTAGGTTGTCTGGAAAAATCAAAGCGAGCCTAGAGAAGAAGCTTGTCTCTTTTTGTTCTTTACAGCGAAATCCCTCCGTCGGTCTCGACGCCTCATTTCGTCCCCGCTTCCATCACTGTTGTTTGTTGTTTTTTTGTTTTTTGTTTTTTTTACCGTTGTGTTTTTGTTTTTTTCTCAGCTAAGTTCCTCTGTGTTGTTTCTTCTTTTGCGTAAAGAGCGATGATTCTGGTAAAAATGGTTTGTTTTCTCCGTTGTCCTGTAAATGTTAAGTAATGCTGATTCAGCTTGAGAAATTGTACATTCCCTTTAGTCGTTCTCCTCGACGAATCCCAGTCCGGTCTCTTCACATTTCCCCCCGGTGTCCTACTGTCCGAGGTACCCTGCGAGGAGAAACAATAATTGTCAGTCGAAATGTTTCTACACAGCGCCCTCCAATGTCGCCATGCTACAAAAACAAATCTGAAGTTTGTGGAATTAGAACCATCGCTCTTAGGACGGAAAATAACAATAATGATAAAATAAAACTTGATTTCTACTTAATTCAGAAAGAAAAAGTTAGTTTATTACAGAAAAAGGAAAACAAGCCTTTAACAGCTGGTACGTCCTGACATCTGATCCCGAGACAGACGGATGAAAGCTCAAAGTAGAGTGTAAAAAGAAAATATCTCAACTGTTTTACCCAGAATTTACTTTTTTTTGTAGGTTGTGGATGGGGAGCAAATAGAAAAAAAAATAAAAGGTTGGGAAACACTTGTTTAGATCAAAGAAAACTCAGGTTGATGTTAAAAGTGCAACAGTTAAAATCTACTCCTGAATCCAACCTGGACCCGCGGCAAGACTTTAAAAGAAAATTGGTCTTCGTTAGATGTTTTCCACTGAGCCTAACTGAGCTTGAGATCTACACAGGAAGGAATAGGCAAACGTTTCCAAACGTTTTAGAAAGCTGAGCGATACAAACGACTGCCTTGAGGGAGCCGAATGCTGACGCTCACCAAAAACTACGTGAGCCCTTTTCCTTCCAGTTCACAAATATGCACCACTCTCTGTTGCTCTGTCACCTTTAATCAGAAATCATTAAGGTTTGTGGCTGTTGTATGATGCGAAAACATTCAAGAGAGGAATGAACACTTTAAACTTTCAGAGGTAAAACTGAAAGAAACGCAAAGGGATACGGCCCGATGACAAAGCCTGAGCTGTATGTTGGCTTCATAAAACTTACATAAACAGACAGAAATGTGAGCTGTACTGTATGTGGATTGGTTGCCATGGAGACTGGTTGGTTTGAATGTGAGGGGGAGGAAGTGACAGCGAGCGACAGGAGTACCGCTACGAAGGTGAGGAGGATAAATAAGAGTGTGGCTCGTGCAGCGATGAGCTAAATGACATCGTTGAGCTCATTGCTTTTTTCACTTCTGATACCAATACAGACATCTGAGGTTTAGTATCGGCTGAAACCCAATCCGATACAGAAATACAGTGCTGAATTTACAAAAAAAACAACAA